CATCATGTCCCATGTTTACTTGCTCTTGATAACAAGGAGGAAGGGAAGTACTCTATTAAAAAGTTTTGAACAATATTGAAATGATCTTTCAAACTGTAACAAAAGTAGAGGACTTTTAGTACATATATTAGTGTTAATTTGTATCTTGAGTTTTTTTTTTTTTTTGCCTAAAAGAGTATACATTTGATTTTTCTGTGAAGCATCCAACGAGTATTTAAAGGGGGTACTGTATATGAAGCTTCAAAATGAGACACGTACATTGAATTACAGTCATATTCTAGCTTCTCGTATTTTTCTTTCAAATAAATGTTACAATTAAGTCATTTTTCCTTGCAACTTGTACAGGAATTAAATAATCAACTATTTCGTATTTAGATTCTACTTCTACTTCTGCTGTAAAATTTCACTCTCAGTATCTTTCCAACTATTTAATGGAATTGTCTTTTGGTTGAGGATAGCATAGGTGCCTTATATAAATAAAGAGAAAAATCATTCATATAAGTTAAAAATTGATTCAGGTTCTTGAAATAAAAATTAAATGTTTCACTGCTTAGGGGAAAACATCTTCTGGCCTTTTACACAAAGATTTCCATTTTGCAGTTGTTTTTAAGAGACTGCCATCGTAAGATACAGTGAAATAGTGCTTGTTTTGACCTTTGAACATGGATACATGACTTAGCTTTTGGCATTCTGCCTAACAACACCTCAGAGGGCAGAGATTCATTCTAATGTGACATATATTTGACTATGTCTTTCAAAAAAAATAATAAATTTGCTTTGTAAATATATCAGTAACAGAATCTTAATAGGCTTCAACTTGTATTTGTCTGGTTCGGGAAAATTATATAAACCCCATTTTTAGTTTTTTTTCTATTGCTTTTATTGCTCAAACCAAGTCTTTTTTAAAAAACTGCCCAAGAGCAAAGCAATAGCTGTGAATCCTGTTTTATTTTCATTAAAAATTTTTTTTTTCCATTCATACATTTCTTTAACACTGATTGCAAGCACTTAGCCCTGATCTGTCTCAGCATATGTTGTCAGAAAGATACAAGACCACAGGCTAAAAAACATATCTTTCCACTATGTATTTTGCTATGTGTGATGCACAGGAGAGCTGACCTCCCTGATTGAAATGTATCTATAATCCTTTACCTGAAAGTACTGATTTGTAAAACATGGAGGCAAAAATCTTTATCAAGATTATGTTGAAGAATTAAGAAGCATATCTATATATATATTTTATTTGTGTGTGTGTGTGTGTGTGTGTGTGCGTGTGTGTATTCAGGCTTTTTCACAGACATGAGCATTTTTAAACTTTATTTGGTATAAAACATAATGTGTGTTAATTGTACTTATCCCTACTTCAGACACCTGACTATAACGTCTTGTGTTTTAACACTGCTATTTATGCCATCCTCATAAGTAGTAGGAAAACACTTAACCATATACCTCACACCTCATTTACCAGTTCAGTATCTAACTCCCTGAACTCCTTTCTAAGACAGTAGTAAACCAATCAGAAAAGCTAAGTGGAAACAGATTGTTAATGTCTAAGAATGGTGGAACTTGCTATACTCTGCTCTTACGGGGGTTTTAATTGTTTTTAATGTGTTATCCAAAGGAAGCAGAAAATATTGTGGTATTTTTCTCTTAGAATCCTTTGCCTTGGTCATCTGAAATTAAAACTGATGGGAATAGTTATCTGTTCTGAGTACCCATAAAAAGGCCCTGATAACATCAGCTAAAATATCATTCTCAAAAAGGATTTGGAATTTGTATTCTTCTCAATGTCTCAGTTTCTTCATTTACTTGCTCTGTTACTGTTGGAAGATGATATCACCTCTCAGTTTGCCCCCCAAAACAAGGCCACCTAGTAGAAGGTTCCTCACCTACCATTTTCTTTATTCAGAATATCTCTGAATATATAACAACCCTTCCAATCTTCTTCCCCCCAAACCGCAGAGAAAAAGAGTCCCTATCTTTAATGCTAATAGCTTACTGCTTAGATCAGAGTCATATTCTTTCTTAGCACCTGGGCTAGGGGTAATTTTTATTTACCTCTTTCCTAGCATCTTAGTTCTCTTCTATATTGACACCTTTCCTTTAGCCTTCAGATATGCAAAGGTCTAACTGACTTGAAAAGAAAACAAATACTCTGATTTTGAAGACTTCTCAATTATAATCTATTTTTCTTTCAATTATTCATTCTTGAACTGAGGAAACAACCACAAGATGTGTTCAGAAACCCACTGGATCCACAGTGAGGCAGATTTCAGCCAGAACTTCACTGACTACCTGACATCCATAAGTCCCTACTCTGGCTGGTGAGCCCAAGTGACATTTTCAGTCTGTTTGGAATAGTGTCAGTTCAGAGACAGCGTCCAGTTATTTCCCTCAAAGTCCGATTATTTCCTTTTCCCCAATGCACAGTCATCCTGGTAAAAGATGGTAGGTCTCTTTGGGGAAGGCTGTGAGAAAGACTACAAATTTTTGGCAGTGTAGCAAGATCCTTTCTCTAGTGGATCTGGCCTCTCCTTCATTCAAGAGGTTCTGGATCTGTAAATTGGCTCAAGTATGGACATTGATTGAGAGACCATGACTCTTCTTATGATTCAAGTTAGACTTGTTTACTGACCTAGAACCTGACCTTTTGTGCTTCTACAGATCATATAAGAATTTAGTAGACTGCCCATCTATTTCACTTCTAGTGACACCTTGATCAACTAACAAATACCATAGGTCTCTGAATCAGACTATTCTGATTACTGTTTTTACTACTGTTTATATGGTAACCACACCCATCTTTAGTGATTATGTGCTGTCTTTTGGCTCCTGTCCTGCCTCAGATCTAATTATCCAACTCCATTTTAGGATTCCAGTTTGATGACAGCAGTTTCCTTGTAATTCCTGACCCACAGAGGAAAAAGACCGTAGAGCTCTTCAAGAATGCTAGGGTTCCCATCACAAATTCGTTTCCCATAGTCCTGGTGAAAGATGTGTCTTCTGGACCCTCCTGGTATGGGCAAGCAGGCCTTAAATTATAAATCTACTCCAACATTTCAGTCTTCCTAAGCCTTTATATACTTTCCTCTACAGTGTTACAAAGCAGTTCTGGAATTTCAACTTCATTTAGCATAGCCCATTTTTTGGTTCATGTTTTAGCCAACTAACCAAACTGTTGGAGTCCTTTCTAACCCCTTGAGTGATGACATTAAATATAGGATCTCTGCTTAGTGGGTCCATATCAATAAAGTCAGCCTGAGCCAATGTTATATTCCTTCCATTATTACCTCAACACCCTTAATATCCATTCCCACATATGTTTCCTGTATTTCTGTCTGTATAGATTGGAAACACCTTGCAGTTATTTGGAATGTAGCTCAACTCCTTGTGGGTCACATTTTGTACCTCACCTTTCAAGGCCCACTGGAACTTAAGTCTAGTCAAAGGTCTAAAAGCAAAGACATGCAGTGGGGGGTAAGCTAATGAGAATCAGCAGTGCTTTGCAAGGCAAGAACTATATCCTCTTGCCCCATTTATTCATGATAGATCACCTCATTAGTTTTGCTTGATTAGATTTTGACTTTTGCATTTTCCTTATATGTTCCCCTCACAAGGTTACCAATGATCATGTAGTCCAAGTTCAACAACTTTGGAAAATAATTTTGCATCATTTTAAAAAATGTCTATATGTTGTTTGACATTATTGATTCTTCTTTCATTTCTCTTCTCCTTACTCTAATTCTTCATGTGCCCTATTTATAAGAATTCTCCAACATCGAGACATTGAAAATTTTTTTCCTCCCCCTCTCTGTTCTGTCCATACTCTTAAATTAACAGTAATTTATTTCTTTTCTGGATTCCCATGACTCTTGTATTCACTGCTACATATTATGGCATTCTGTCAAAGATTTCTTCCGTAATGGAAGAAAGGCAGGTCCCCAATGTCTGATGCTCTAATGTATTGATGGATAGAAGAAAAAAAAGTTTTTACATTTTAAATTTATTTTTTTTTTATTTTCTTTTCAGCATACTCTGGCTTTCAAAGAAGAAACAAAGCCCTTTTTTCTACTAGTCATATACCAGAATAGACAGGAATAGATCTTGGAAGCTTCACTCACCTTTAGTCTATCTTTTTTATTTCTCCTTTTGTGCTCAGTGTTCACTTTTAAGGTAATTTTTATAGAGGTGTGCACAACCAGATAAAAGTTGGAAATATAATAGTTTACATTTTATTTCTTTCAGAATTTTGTATTTTGTCTATTCCTGCATTGTCAAAATGGATTGATTATACTCAGCCCCCTTCCATTATTTTTTGAGTACCAAATTAGTGACTGTAGTATTTTGAGCATATGTTTAGTACTCAGAAGACATAGCCTCTATCCACTCATTCTAAATTGGCAAAAATATAGAGAGACACTAGAAGGTTTAGTGCACATGATCATAATTTACTGTTTAGTTAGAATAAAATGCATTATACTGAAGCAAAGTAATTAGAATTGCCTTTTACCTAATAATTGCTACTAATTGCTTTCAAGAGATTAGATCCCAACCCCATTTTTAATGACAGTGGAATTATTTTACCTGCCATAGCGTTAATGGTGTTAATACTATTGATTTTCATATTTTCCTTGCATAGTTCAAAATGTCATCTTGTTAACAAGAATTCTTTATCAAGGATAAAAATGCATGTTACTAAATAGATAGGATAACTATTTTTTTTGTTTTGTTTTTCATCTCGCTAACAAATAGTGCCAACTGGAATGTTTGACTGCCTCCAATGTTATAAAAAACCAGATGATATTTCTTCAAATATGTGGTCAAATTTATTTTAGTCTTCTTTTTGAGCCAACACTTAATAATCAAATAGACTACTCATGAACAACTAGATTTAAGTGACTGAATTAAACTTTGAAATATCAGATTATATCAAGGTTTGTTTTTTGAAATTAAGATAATATGTGTGTTATCATTTAATCTTCCTTATCCTCATTTAACAGAGAAATGATGAAGAAGCAGTTGTGGATAGAGGTGGAACTCGTTCTATTCTCAAAACACACTTTGAGAAAGAAGATTTAGAAGGTAAGACCTTTTTTCTTGGGATAGCTATTGGTATGCTTTCCAAAAGTATTTCAAAGATAAATGTAGTTTGTCACATTGTGAAGAATTGCAAAAGTTGATATCAGAGTAATGGTAGCTTATTGGGGAGGGGTACATCTGATTGTTTTGGTACAGTCTGGAATGTCAATAGGCAGAGCCGGAAAACAATGAGAAGCATCAGTTCATCCAACAGACATTTATTGAACCCCTACTATATTCTAAGCACTGTACTCTGTGTCAATCTTTCAATAATCCCTGCTTCGTGTAATTACAATCAATTGAGACATGATGACAGATCAGCATATCAAGTGCTGTATGAGAAGTGAATGTGGGACAGGAGGGGCAGCTAACTCAGCCTGTGTTGTCAGAGTAGGCTGTCACTTGGAAGAGAGGTAAGAACAATTGGAATTCTCATTTTACTCATATTTGTGTGTGTGTGTGTGTGTGTGTGTGTGTGTGTGTGTGGGGGGGGGTATGTATATATATAGCCAATTTTCCCAGCACCATTTATTAAACAGGGAATCCTTTCCCCATTTCTTGTTTTTCTCAGGTTTGTCAAAGATCAGATGGCTGTAGATGTGTGGTATTATTTCTGAGGACTCTGTTCTGTTCCATTGGTCTATCT